GCCCTTACTCTGGAAACTTCTAGTATCTTCTTTATGATCCTAAGTTAGGTGTGTGTGGTCTATTGCAGCGATCTGCAGTCAGTCTGCAAGTGTGGAAAGGTTTGCCACCATGGATTAAACTGCCAGCTTTTGGACCCTTTCTTGCTGGGAATCTGCAGTTGTAAGAAGGTTGGGAGCTGGAGAGATAGTGCAGAGGGTCAGGTGCTTCCCTTGAGTGGGGCTGACTCAGGTTTGATTCCTGGCACCATATATAGTTCCTGAGCACTGCTGGGAGTGACACGTGAGCACAGAACCACAGAACCAAGAATAAGTCCTGAGCACTTCTAGGTATGGCCCCAAACAAACAAACAAACAAAAAAAAAACAGAAGGAGAAGAAAGGAGAGAAGAACAAAAAGAAGGAGAAGGAGGAGGAGAAGGAGGAATAGGAGAAGGAGGAGTTGGAGGAGGCAGAGGAGGAGGAAGAAGAGGAGGAGGAATAGAAGGAGGAGGAGTTAGAGGAGGTGGAGGAGGAGGAGGAAGAGGAGTAGGAGGAGGAAGAAGAAGAAGAAGAAGAAGAAGAAGAAGAAGAAGAAGAAGAAGAAGAAGAAAAGGAGGAGGAGGAGGAAGGGGAGGAGGAGGAGGAGAAAAGAAGGAGGAGGAGGAAGAGGAGGAGGAGGAGGCAGGGGATTGAAAAGATCTTGGCCTGTTCTTGTGCTGGACATTTGCTGATCAGGCCTCTCTGCGTGTCCTTCAGTGCCAGAAAACCTTAAATTCTGTTTTCCTCCCATTTTCTCAGGAATTCTGGAGTCACTCAGATGTTGGCTCTTCATTGCTCATCCATTTTTCTCTTCCTCACTTTCCATCCCTGACACTTTTATTTCCCTCTCCCCTTCCCTTGTTTCTGTGCCGCCCCCGGGCTTGCACACCTGCAGCTGATATGCTCACGGGGGTGCCACCGGAATCTCACTTGGCACAGGGGGTGGAGCTGGGGAGGGGCCCACGATCTCCAGGCACAGGCGTTCCTATTGTCCCCGTTGTCTGACTCTCTTGGGGGGTGGGGGGTGGGGGGTGTGTTGAGGGTTCTCAAGTGCTACTGGAGGGACGGGCTCGGGTCTCAGGGGCGATTATCAGCCTACCCCCAGGCTAGCGGGGATGCTGTTGGGCCCCACTATGCGGGTTACCCGAGCCACCGCTGCTAGTGCTCAGGGACCATGTGGTGCTGGGGACCGGACCCAGGTCCCATAGTTACTGCTGGACTGTCTCCCCACACCCCATCTACTGGACTCTCCCCCTCCTTGTCAGGGACCCCAGACCTGTGGCAGTCAGGAACCCCCTCAAGCAGATGCTATGCCAGGGATTTATCCCACTGACTGGGCCCTTCCTCAGCCACTGGGCTGCCTTCTGGACCCTTCCTCACTGGGGAATCCTCAAGAGCAGAGCTGCCGAGATCACCCCAGCCTCGGTGGGTGGCACTGAGGTTTGAACTCATAACTCTGTGCTTGCCAGGCAAGAGTTTTAGAGTATTAAGACATCTTCTGGGTCCTCATCTCTGACTTTTTTTTTTAGGTAGAGCAGAGGCTCCTTCCAGAGTGCTCAGGGAACCATGCAATGCAGGGAACTGAACAAACTCGGCCACCCCCTGGATGTGCAGAGCACACATTCACCTGGATGTGCAGAGCACACATTCAGTCCTTTGGACCATCTTCTCGGACAAGCTCTGACCTTTTATTTATTTATTTTGTCCTTTTGGACCACACTCAGTGATGCTCAGGGCTTACTCCTGGCTCTGTACTCAAGCATCACTCCTGGTGGTGCTCGGGAAACCATATGGGATGCCCAGGATCGAACCCTGGGCTGGACGCCTGCAAGGCAAATGCCCTTCTCCCTGTGCTATTGCTCCGGCTCCAGCTCTGACCTTTTATTCAATTTCATCTGTTGACACTTCTCTTGGTTTTTCATTTCTGCTATCATGTTTTTTTCAAAGCGGGCTGATTTTTTTTTTTTTGTCCTCAGCTGCTCCTTGTTAAAAAATAATATCCTTTTTGGTTTCCTGGTTACATTCTGTTTTGAGTCTCCGAGGAGATGCATGATATGGTCAAGTTACTGTCTGCTGCAATGTCTGTGAACTTTTTTTTTTTCCACGTGGCTGTCTGGGCTTCTCCTGGGTGGTTGGAAGCTCCTCTCCTGAGTCCAGGCACTTCCTGTCTGGCTGCTTGTGCATGAGCACTGGTGCCAGGAGCCAGCTGGATGTCCTGACAAGTAGCGGGTAAGTGGACTTAAGGATGCCTAGAGACGCTCTAGAATGTGCCTTGGGTTCCCCAGGGGATTCCTCCAGCCTGGCTGTAAGGCGCTGGCTGCAGACATCCTGGGAGCTGAGTGAGAAAGCCGGCCGGGGAGGAGGGGAGGGGAAGGGGGGGGAAGGAGGAGCAGGAATGTCGCAGCTTCCCACATCAATTTAACTTACCCACTTCTCTCTTCCCACAGCTGTCCTGGAGGACCCTGGGGCTGGTGTAACCCCGAGGCACAGCTTTTCCCAAGCCAGCCCCTCTCAGACGGCTGCTGTGCACTGCTTGTCATTCTTCTCTGCTGCTTAGGCTGTTGGTGGGCTTGGGGGGGGGGGCCCTCAGTGCCAGGAGATGAGACCCGGACTTTCTGCAAACCAAGCCTTCCCTCAGCCTGTGAGTCATCTCTCTACCTTCCCTCATTCACCAGAACCATCCCCCAACTCCCAGGCCCTTCCGTTGCTGAGTGTCTGCACTTACCAGAGCAATTGCCGTTGCGCCTTCATGTTCCCGGCTTTAGTTTAGACTCAACTGTTCGTGTCCACTGGGGCAGTCCCACTGGCCCACCGACTCACCTCTTTTTTTTTTTTAAAGAAGCCAATTTATTTTATTTTATTTTTCTTTTTTGGGTCACACCCAGCAATGCTCAGGGGTTACTACTGGCTTTGCACTCAGGAATTATTCCTGGCAGTGCTTGGGGGAACATATGGGATGCCAGGGATCGAACCCGGGTCAGCCGCATGCAAGGCAAACGCCCTACCTGCTGTGCTATTGCTTCGGCCCCACTGACTCACCTCTTATGGACCCCTGGGGCTAGAGGCAGGAACTAGAGGATGACACGCTGCTCGAACCCTGCCAGAGATGGACGCCGGGTCAGGGTATACTGGGCATGCACCCTTGCCATTGTGCTATTGCCCGCCTAGAGATGGGCTTCATTTTTTTTTTCAGACTTCACTGCAAAATGCCTGAAACATTTTGTTTCCCCCCAATTTTTTTTTTTTGCATCACACTCAGTGATGCACAGGGGTTACTCCTGGCTCTGCACTCAGGAATTACTCCTGGTGGTGCTTGGGGAACCGTATGGGATGCCAGGGATTGAACCCAGGTCGGCCACGGGCAAGGCAAATGCCCTACCTCCTGTGCTATCGCTTTTCTTCTTGAGTGGGCCCAGTAACGTCTCCATTGGGAGACTTTGTTGTTACTGTGTTTGGCATATCGAATACGTCACGGGTAGCTTGCCAGGCTTTGCCGTGCGGGCGACATACTCTCAGTAGCTTGCCGGGCTCTCCGAGAGGGTTTGAGGAATCGAACTTGGGTTGGCTATGTTGGCTGTGTGCAAAGCAAACACCCTACCCCCTGTTTCCCAAGATCTTCACTGGTTCTCTTTTCTTCATTATGGGTGAGGAGGCATCTGAGTCTCCCTCAGACACAACAAGGGGGTTCACCCCACACCAGGGACAGAGAAAGCTGGTCCTCCCCGGAGCGGAAGTGCTTTTCTTGTCATTCACTAAACTTACCTGAGCTTGTGTTTATTTATTTATTTTGGCTTGTAGACCACACCTGGCAGTGTCCAGGGCTTACTCTTGGCTCTGCACTCAGGGAATCACTCAGGGAACTACAGGAGGCCAGGATCAAAGTCCAGTCAGCTGCGACCACCTTGTACAAGGCAAGTGCCCTACCTGCTGTCCAGGCTCCTGCCCTTCACCTGCACTTTTGGACTCCAATACAGCCTCAGTGCAGGGTCAGAATCTGGGTGTGCATGACTCCATATTTGGAAAGCAGTGCCCACCCACAGCTTTGCCACCCAGGCTGGCAAGGACCAGCGGGTCTGCCATCCTCGGGGTGAACTGAAGGAAAAAACAAACAAACATTGTTTTTTGTTTTTTAGGGGGCCACACCCGGCACTGCTGAGGGCTTACTGCTGGCAGGCTCAGACAACCATATGTGTGTGGTGCGGGGGGATCTAACCCTGGTTAGACATGTGCAAAACAAGTGCCCGGCCGGCTGGAGGCTGGATTCTTGCTGAGGCCCAGGAAACTTCTAGCTAGCCACACAAGAGCTGCATGCGGGTGGGCGGGGGTGTGGAGACAGCCCTGGGGCCTCTGGGCGGGGCTGGCCGCGGGGATGGAGAGGCTGTGGGTGGCTGAGCGCGATGCCCACGTCGTGCCCAGCGCCCTCTGCCCAGCTCAGTCTTCCTGTCTGTTGGCGTCAAGACCCTAGGTGCAGGGGCGGGAGCGATTGGTACAACGGGAGTAGGGGAGCGTTTGCTCTCTGCACGGGGCTCACCCAGGCTCTATCCTCAGCCTCCCAGACGGTGCCCCGAGCCCTGTCAAGAGTGACCCCTGAGCGGAGAGCCGGGAGTAAGCCCCGACTATCCCCAGGTGTGGCCCCCGAACAAGACAACGAGCAAACAAAAGAGTGCGTGCAAACACGTGCAGGACCAGCGGAAGGCGGGGCCGGCTTCGTGCTCGCGGCCTTCCGCGCCGCCCGGGCTGGACGTGGGCATCGGGGGCCACAGTCAGCGGCCCGGCCAGGCACACGCCTGCACCTCGGGGGTCCCCGCCGGCCCCTCGGTCCCTGCCCACCTCGCAGGCCCGGCAGCCGCCGCCGCCACCGCCGCCACCGCCGCGCGGGCTGGCCGGGCGGCCAGCGGGGGGCGCCGGCGGTCACCCTGGCCGCGGCCTCGGCCCGCCCCGCCCGTCCCGCCCGCCGCGGCGCGGACACCCGGACGGCGGGATCCGGAGCGGCGGCGGGAGCGGGAGCGGCGGGACCCGGACGGCGGCGGGACCCGGAGCGGCGGCAGGTGAGCGGGCCGGGGCGGGAGCGGCGGGACCGGGATGGGCAGCACGTCCGCTGGGGGACTCCCCGGCCTCGCGGGTGGTGTGTGTGTGTGTGTGTGTGTGTGTGTGTGTGTGTGTGTGTGTGTGTGTGTGTGTGTGTGTGTGTGTGTGTGACTGCTGTGAGTGCGTGACTGTGTGTGTGTCTGTGTCTCTGTGTGTGAGTGTGTGACTGCTGTGAGTGCGTGACTGTGTGTGTGTGAGTGTGTGTCGGTGGGCCCAGGGGTTGAGGGTGGGGGAGAGGCTCCGAGCGCCCCGGCACTTGGGCAAGGGCTGGGACTCCTCAGACCTTTGCTCCGCCGGCCTCCGTGCAGCAGAGTGGCCAGTTCTCCCCATGTGAAGACTGAGACTTGGCCAGGGGACAGGGAGGGGGCCCGGACTGGATGTGGACAGGACAGGGAACAGCGGACAGGGACGGGTGGGGGGCAGGGGAGACCGGGAGGGCACAGGGCCAGGTACCAGGGTAGGGAGGGGATGCAGACAGTGCTCCTGGCCCTGGGCTATGGGAAAGGGGCTGGTTTGGCTGGTTTCTTCCACCAGGATAGAGAGAGAGAGTGTGTGTGTGTGTGTACTGTATGTGTGTACTGTGTGTGTACTTCCTAGGCTGGAGAGTGTGTTGTGTGTGTGCATGTGTGTGTACCCCCTAGACTGGGTTGTGTGTATGTTTGTGTGTACCCCCTAGACTGGGTTGTGTGTGTGTGTGCTTGCTCCCTAGTCTGGATCACATGTGCGTGTGTGTTTACACTAGACTGATAGTATATGGATATATGTGTGTGTGTGTATACCTTAGATTGATATTGTGTGTATGTGTGTGTACCCTAGACTGATAGTGTGTGTATATGTGTGTGTGCACACCTAGACAAATTACGTGTGTGCATGCGCATGCCCTACACTCTGTGTGTGTGTGTACTTCCTAGGCTGGAGAGTGTGTTTGTGTGTGTGTGCATGTGTGTGTACCCCCTAGACTGGGTTGTGTGTGTGCGTGCTTGATCCCTAGATTGGATCACATGTGTGTGTGTTTACACTAGACTGATAGTATGTGGATATACGTATGTGTGTGTGTGTGTGTACCTTAGATTGATATTGTGTGTATGTGTGTGTGTTCCCTAGACTGATAGTGTGTGTATGTGTGTGTGCACACCTAGACTAAATTACGTGTGTGCACGCGCATGCCCTACACTCTGTGTGTGTGCACATGTGTGCATGCCCTAGACTGAATAACGTGTGCATGTGTGCATATGCATGCCCTAGACTGGATAGGGGGTGTGTGTGTGTGAGAGAGAGAGAGTGTGAAGGGTGTGTTTACTGCCAGAGCCACAGTGGATCTCCCTGTCCAGAGAGTGCAGAGAGAGCAAGTGAGGAGTTGGCCGGGCCTGGCTCCCCTGCGGGGTCCTGGCATCTCATCTTTCACCTGAAGGCAGTTGGAGTGGGGGTGGGCAGGGGTGTTCCTCTGCTCCTCTGTGTGCCTTGGGGGTACTCCTGCTCCTCCCTCCAAGGCCACGATGCCACCCCGGAGCCCCTGGGCATATCCATGGAGCCTTCGCCGGGGAGGAGCACAGGTGCCCAGTGAGGGGGCTGCCGCCAGTCAGAATCATTGCCTTGCTGACAAAACCTAGGCCAGAGTGAAGGCCAGCACTGTGAGACAGCAAGCACTGGCCACGGTGGGCTCTGGGACCCTGGGGGCTGGGGCCTCAATAGCTCTGAGAGTGTGGGGCACGTTCCCTGTGGGCTGGGCCTGCCTCAGACCTGAGGGAGGTGAGGAGGCCCTGAGTCTCGGGGCGGAGGCACACCGCCTGCACATGGGTGCTGTGTTCTAGGCTGAGTCCCTGATGCTGAGTTCTGGAGTTCTGTCTCCTCAGCACCTGTACAGGCTTTCTCCATGCCCTTGTCCTGTCCAGAGTCCAGAGTGCTTGTCTGAGGCCGCTGATGGAGACAGAGGCGGGGCAGCCTCTGCCCTCTGAGGCCAGGGTCATGGCTCTTGACCATTGGAACCCTTTGATGGAGAGTGTTGCAGGTCAGACAGGTCTTCACAGCCCTTTGAAGACAGGTCTGGAGCTGGGAAGTGGGGGGTGGCTGTGGCCGGTGGTGTCCAGGCGGGAGTCCCTGGCAGGTTCTCTGCCCTCCAAAGTCCACTGGTCAACAGGGAAGGCTGAGGGAGTCCAGCCCATCTGTGGAGAGATGTCCCCACAGTACACGGCAATGTGTGGTGGGCAGAGGAGGTGATGGGCTGAGATGGGTTTCCTTTGACATGTCTTTGGGGAAACTTGTGGAGAAAACATGTTCTTGTTTTTCTGTCTTTTGTTTTTGTTTTGTTTCTTTTTTAAAAATTTTGTTTTTAATTTTTGGGGCCACACCATGGCACCTTGGCTTTGCACACGGGAATCACTCCCTGCAGTGCTCAAAGGACCATATGGGAGGCCAGGGAGAGAACCTGGGTCAGCCGCATGCAAGGCAAGTGCCCTCTCTGCTGTGCTATTGCTCCAGTCCCTGTTCTTCATTTTTTTATGCTTTCTCAACTGTAAGAAGGAAGGAAAGCAAACTTTGTGAGGTTTGGGGATGTGGCTGAGTGGGAAGTGGGACAGCTCAGGCCTTGCCTGTGTGGGGCTCTGGGTTCCAGCCCTACCACTGGAGGGAAAAAAAAAAAAGAAGCAAAACTTGATTCTTTTTCTGTTTGTTGTGGAAAATTTTAAGATCTTCTATTGCTCATGAGCTGTGAAATTGGGTTTGCAGGTGCGGGCTGGACACTGATGCAGTTTATTAATTGTTATTACCACATGTTGGATTTTGGGCCACAGCAGCTGTGCTCAGGACAACACAGGAATCACTCTTCACTGGCTCAGGGAACCACACAGGGATCTGGAGATTAAACCTGGATTGGCGAATGCAGTACAAGCACCCTCCCCTCTGTACTATTCTCTGGCCTCGATGCAGATTACTAGGGCACTCAGGTGGAAAGTGCAGGATCGTGAGGTGTCTCAGCCCACGTTCTCCTCAGACCTCAAACATGGGGCCCACAGTGCAGGTGGGAGACCCCATCACTGGCCAGCGGCAGAGCATGTGGTGGGCAGCGTCACCTGCCCTGAGAGTCTGTGGCACCTCTGTCTCCTTTCTGGTGGAGAGTTGCTGGGGGTTGTCTGGCAGACACCCGGGAATGATGGGTGAGGGGGCCCCATTTGGGAAGGGAGCCAGACTGGGATGCAAGTTCTTCCCCTTTGGGAACCAAAGTGGTTTTTCAGGCTGCTGTGGCCAGTCCTAGGTAGGATTTGGGGGTCAGGGTCCCAGGCCCCCTAGGACTGGGTGATCCCACATCCTCCCCCTGGGGAGGCTCTTCTCAGCTCCCTCTTCTATATATCCCAGACTGAACGAGCCCCTCAAACGCCCCGTGCTCCGCCTCTCTCTCCCAGCCCGCAAGCTCGCTGTCCTTTCTGCCAGCCTTTCCTCCCCAGTGGCCTGGCTCTCCGTGCTCTACTCGGAGGCTTTCCATGCTGGGCTCAGCAGAAAGGCACTGAGACCCCAGGTCTACACCAGAAGTAAAAAGCTGGGCTTGATGGGTGCGGAGAGAGAGCACCAGAGACCCAGCACAGGCTTTGCAGGCATCAGGCCCAGGGTTTGTCCACAGCGCCACCTCTGGGGGCAATCCCCGAGCACTGAGTAGTAGCCTCTGAGCATCTCTGAGAGTGTTCCAAGGCCCCCAACTCCCCAAAAGAAGGAAAGAAAGAAAGAAACAAAGAAGAAAGGAAGGAAGGAGGGAGAGAAGGAAGGAGGGAAGGAAGGAAGGAAGGAAGGAAGGAAGGAAGGCGGGTGGGGGGAAGGAGGGAAGGAGGGAGGGAGGGAGGGAAGGAAGGAAGGAAGGAAGGAAGGAAGGGCAAGGGAAGGAAGGACAAAAGGAAAGAAAGAGAAAGAGAGAAAGAAAAGGAAAGAAAAGAAAGAAAGAAAGAAAGAAAGAAAGAAAAAGAAAAGCAAAAAAAGGAAGGAAGGAAGGAAGGAAGGAAGGAAGAAAGAGAAAGAAAAGAAAAGAAAGAAAAGGAAGGAAGGAAAGAAGGAAGAAAGAAAGAGAAAGAAAAGAAAAGAAAGAAAGAAAAGGAAGAAAGAAAGAAAGAAAGAAAGAGAGAAAGAAAGACTGAGCTTTATTCCATGGTGGATGGTGACCCCGGGGGTCCTTCCTCCTCAGTTCTGGTGGTCTGTGCCAGCCTCAGGCCTGAGGACCTTGGTGTCCACCGCCTTGCTTTCTGGACAGTATGGGGGGTCAGAGGGAAAGACAGGCACACTCGCCCCCTCCCCAGCCCAGCCTGCCCCTTGGCTTCTATAAAGGGGGCTAGAGGGGGCCTCCCAGACCAGGTGGCAAACAAGTACCCGGGCCAGTCCCAGCAGGTCTGTGCCAGCAGGGAGTGCCCATGGGCTGCTCATTCCGGTCAGCAGCTGCTGCGGCCACAGTGTGTGTGGAGGAAGCGTGTTTAGACCCCGCAGCCAAGGTTGTGTCGCGCCGGCCCTTAGACCAGAGGAGAAGGACACGGACTCTGCGGGGTCCCCGGGGCTGGAGGCCTGGCGCCGCATTTCCTGCCGGTGTGGCAGTGGGCGAGCTCCTCTCCCTCTCTGAGCTCCGAGTCTCCTCTGTGATGTGGAGAGCGACTTATCTCTGAGGCCAGGGGGCAGGTCCCGATATAAAGGGCCAGACCCGTGAGAGTCCACGGTGGGATGTGAGCAGCCCAGGCCAGGAGAAACGAGCCAGGGTGCTCCCGGGTGGGGGGAGCTGCTGCTGAGGGCGGTGCCCGCATCTACTCTCATGTTGCCTCACTATTAAATGACAGGGTGGCCGTGTGTCTGTGGGCAGGAGAGTTTGGGGTGATGGGGCATAGTGTGAGCACCCCACTCTCACTTATTAAAGAAAAACAAGGACTGGAATGATAGGAAGTACAGCGGGTAGGGCACTTGCCGTGCACACGGCCGACCCGGGTTCAATCCCAGG